GAAACTATAGCTAAATTATAATAAAGTAGGCTATAAAAGTTTATTTTTAAGTTATTAAGTAAAGTTAAGTATAAAAGAAAAAGCTAAGAGTAGATTAAGTAACAGGCAAGCGCAAGTAAGACAGGATAGGACTATTAAAGCTTATTAGCACCCCTTTGCGCTAGATTACGCTAAAGTAGCTTAAAATATACTTACTTTAAAAAGTTTAAAATCTTTAAAATTCTAACCTATAGAGAGAGCAGAGGTGTAAAGAAGATAGACTTCTAGAATAGTTAGACCTTATATATACTGTTCTAACTGCTACTCTATTAGCGTAAGATATACTACTATTTTACTTTTACTTTTACTTTATACTTTTACTTTACCTTTACTTAATAACTTTAGGTTATTTTTAAATAAACTTATATAAAATTAACTAAAATAAGTAAAAGTAAGTTTTTAGAGCATTATGTAACACTTTCTTATGCTACTTAGGCCTATTGTTATCTATTCTATCCTCTAAGTTGTAGGACTACTATAAGGGGGGATAATGTAAGGCTAGATGTCCTAGAACAGGCTAGTATAGCCTCCCCTAACCTATTTAGAGGTTATATGACCTGTGCTTTGTATATAAGCATAAATCCTAACAAGTAAGGCTTAGCAGCAATTTGTCTCTCTTACAATACACTTCTATCTTTCTCTAAAAGCGTGCTCTTAGTGCTATCTGTGCTACTTACTATCCTATCTTTACATAGACTCTTTTTAAACTCTCTTTACTTTATCTTTAGCTACTTAAAAGTGCTGTAATATCTGCTTAAAAGTTAAATACTAAAGCCTCTAAGGCTAAAACCTAACAGAGCAGCTTAGTGTTTTAGTAGAATAAGGCTACTTAAACACTAGCTGCAGGAAGCCTAGCTTTCTAGCTCTTTATAACCTATACTACTTACACTAGGTTCTAAGTAAACTTTAAAATAGCCTTAAAAGCTCTCTTTTTATTCTTCTTACTCTCTATGTTTTAGGCTGCTGCCTATAGCTTAAGATAGCTTTAAAAGACTAAGAATTTCTTTTTATAATAAAAGAGAACTTATACATACATTAGTAAACTATACTCTAGCAGTATTAAACTATATTTATATAAAGTGTAATATTTATATTTCTTTAATTTAAAAAACTAATAAAAGAACTTAACTTAAAGGCTGTAGGTAAGAGCATAGGCAGCTTAAAAGCAGATAACTTAAAACACCTCTAAAGAGGCTCTAGAAGAGAGGCAAAGCAGCATAGTAATTTTCTTTAATGCTATAATTTATTAGCAGACTAAGCTATAAGATGTTAAGTGTATAATAATACCTATATAGTAAAGATTTAGAGAATAGCTAAAAAAAAAAACTAACAACATTAACTAGACTATTGTTACAGTCTATGGTTGGACCAACGTAACTCCACCCGTGGTGCTCCACAGCCTAGCTAGGTTGGAACAGGGCTCGCTTATGAACCAGTCGGAGGACACGGAGGATATGGGGGCGGCGCAACTACCTGCGATGATGGAAGAGTGCATTATCTAATAGGAAGGCAGGCCATAAATCTGTCAAGTCTAAGAGAGCTTGTGGAGCTGTGCTTAGCAGACTTGCATAAACTTGTCCTACTTGTTCTTAGCACCCTCTGTACATGTCCGAACGTTAATCACAGGTATATTGATCCAACTCTGTGTGGATATCACGTGAGCTTATCTCACGTGATATCTGTGCAGGCTTGGCAGGGGGCCAGTATAAAACCAGCCATCCCAACGTACTTAGGATGGCAGCTGTCACCAGAATTAATACATTGTGTTACCTGCTCACCTCTTAGTACGCCCCTTAGGCGTACGTTTGTTTAATTAAACCTAGGTTAACTAACACTAATTAGTCTGTTAACAGACTATTTACTGCGTGCGTAGCCACGCAGAGAATATTGTCCTTAACAGACAGATTTGCAAGGATTAATAAAACTGCCACTGTACAAGAAGCTCACACCTACTGCGTGCGTAGCCACACAGAGAAGGTACAAAGAAGCTTACATCTACTATGTGCGTAGCCACACAGAGAGGGGTAAGCAAGCCTTGTGCGCGCCTCTAGATTAACTAATTACACAAAGACAAGATTAGCAACCTGCCGCGTGCGTAGCCACGCAGAGAGGGCTCACTGCTGAGCCTTTGTGCGCCCTAGAGCCTCCTGTTGACACAGGCTGTGCAACCACTCGCCTACCGCGTGCGTAGCCACGCAGAGGAGACAATACAGGCCGCACAATTAGAAACCTACCGCGTGCGTAGCCACACAGAGGAGGCTCCTTATTAGCAGCCCGCCTTATTAACACCCCCTTAATTAATTGCCTGCACAAGAGGCGATTAATTAGTTAACATCTATCGCACGTACAAAAGCCCGTAATATACC